GATATGATTTCATACTCCTATTTGGAAGCCTAATAAAATAAAGGACTCTTGACTTGAAAAAAAGCTTTATAAAGAAATAATTTTAATAAATGTAAATTTTTATTAATTGTACACACATTAGGTATATGCCTTAATCACAGCACATAACAAGAGGTAACAGTGATGGACACAGGATTTCGATTTTGAGGGGAAGGGGAAGGAGAAAAACAATCAAACAACGAATAAGAAAAAATTATCAAAACAAATGATGCACGCTAACTTGAAATCAAAGTCCTAAAACCAAAGTTTAATAGACGAAAACTAAATACTAAATGTTTTTAATAACAAGAGACAAAATATAAACAAAAGATGAAAATTAACTCACAGGCCAAAATCATATAAACATTAGCTAAATTCAATAAATAGACATTAACCCTACACAAATTAACATGAAAATTCTAAGATACAAATTTAGAATAAGAACAACCAACAAATTAATAATCATAAAAATATATAGGTCACAAATTTAAAATACGTGTATGTGTCTAAATAATGAATGATTATGAATCAAAATATAAAGAAATTGCAAAGAAAAAAAATTAGACCTACCTTGAAAAAATCGAGTTTTGAGAAAGTGGATGCTTGAGATGAGTTGAATGAACTTGGGAAAAGATCGATGCTTGCTTGTCCTTTTAGGTGTTGGCTTTTGACTAATACATCAAGTCAATCATGTATTAATATAATTCTAAACATGATTAAATTTCCTTTTATTTGTCAATTATTTGTTTGCTTACCATAACTAATATAAGGGTACACTAAATACATTATAGTTATAATAATGAAATTTAATTTATATTTATATATTTATATATATATATAAGGAAACTAGAATGAGCTATTATAAAAAAAAAACATGTTTTCAAAAGAGAAATTAAAGGAAAATTTAAAGGAGATAAGAATGTTAACTAATCAAAACAAAAACAAAAACAAAAAAACTTGTTAATGGGACAAAGTGATAGAGTTAGCCAAGAGAAGATCTAAAATTTCGTTATTTTAACTTTTCTGGTTTTTTTTCCTCTGTTGATCTTGATCCCTATCTTTTGATGTTTACAAAACAAATGGATGATACTAATGTTTCTTCAAGATATATTTTCAGTTATGAAGTTATTTGATTCCATGATCAAGTCGATGACAAAGTATGCTGAATCTGTCGGACGCTCAAGATGTCAGGATCGGACGTCCGATAATCATTGCACAACTTCGGACGCATGCTTCGGACTTTCGATAGGATCCTTCGAAGTCGACGAAACTATCGGACCTATCGGACGCTGAATATGTCTCTACCGGACGTCCGATAGAAACAAGATAATTTCTCAAATCTGTTTGTTTGCTGTCGGACGCATAAAGAGCTTGCACCGGACGTCCGAAAGAATTGAAGAAAATCTCTGAAACTCATTGCCTGTTGTCGGACGCATAAAACAGGGCTATCGGACGTCCGACACTCCAACGGCTAGTTGACTCTTCAGCTACTTTCTATCCGTTGGAAGCTTTAATGAGGCTCTTTCTTGGTCCTATATAAATAGTGGTTGGTCAGATACTTCAAATAACTTTGGCACACTGAAGATACAAAAGATCTAGAGAGATTTTAGTGAGAAAATACTCCAAAAAGAATATTTGTAGTCTTAGTGGTGTGAGGTTCATTGTAAGCTTTTTATTTGTGAGTGAATCTTTCATGAGTGTAGCTCTGTGAGGGTTGTCCTGAGGGATAGTAAAACGTCCTGGCTTGACCGAGTGCTGCTTGGGGCAAGGAGGAGGTGAACCTTCCTTTGTACACAAGAGTGATTGTAATTCATCAACTTGAAGTAGCTTGTTTCAATTAATCTACAAGCTCAAGAGAAGTTGGATAGTTAATTGGTTTGCAATCCTTTCCTTTTTATTTACTTATTGTTTCGTTTATGATCTTTGCATTGGTTGTTTTGGGCCTTACATCCTCCATGCTATATCTCGAGACAGAGGTAGCCAAGAGAAGATCATCAACTAGAAACATCATATGTAATATTTGCTCATGAATTCTGTGGTGACCTTTCTCTTGTAGTGGCCCCTCCAAACCTCCTTCTGGATTTTGGGTTTGTCACTGTTACTTTTTGTTCGGTTGCGTGCTCATTTTTAACAGTTCTCATGTTACTTTACTCGGGAGTTTATTGCTTTACATATTTGTCTATTTCTTTGGCCTTTTTTGGGGTAATTTCTTTGGTCTTCTAGACCCTTATACGAACTTGTACTATGATTTTCATAGATAGGAGAATTGGTTTGGTTCATTTTTTGGTTATTTTGGATTCGTAGGTTGTTAAAACCTTCACAATTCTTTTGCATAAGTTAAAGGTTAAATTACATATAAACCCCTATGATTTCTTCTATTTCCACATGACCCTGCTAATATTTCAAAATATCTAATTCATCCCTTATAGTTTTATATAAAGTGGAAATTTGAAGGAAAATAGTCTATATAACAACGGGTCCGTTTGGATTCCTTGTTTTTGGGTCTGTTTTTGAAAAACTGTTTTTCACATTCCAAATGCTACAGTAAATGTGTATTTCAAAAACAACTCAAAAAACACCATATCCAAACAATATATCAAAAACAACTCCAAATACATATTTAATATGTTTATTTCAATTATGTATAGGATATATATATTATATTAATTTAAATATATTTATTTATACATATTATAAATATTTTATTTTATATAATATATATTTTTATATATTTATAATATATAATATATTATATAAATTATATATAATATAAAAATGTAATTATACATTTATATAAATATTATATATTATATACTATATATTCAATAGATACATAACATATATTACATATTTAATATATACATAATATATAATATATATTATATATTTAATATATACATAATATATATTATATATTATACATTTATATAAATGTACAGTTATATATAATATATATATTTATGTATGTTTATAATATACATTTATATTATGTATTATATATAATATAATACAATTATATTAATATACATAATATTAATTATACATTTATACATAATATTAATACATTTATACATTTATATTTATTATATTAATACATTTATACATAATATTAATGTATATTTATAATATATTAATTTATACATTTATATAATATTCATTTATAATTTATACACATTTATAATAATATACATTTATACATTTATAAATATATTCATATTATGTATTATATATAATATAACACATTTATATAGATTTATATATTTTTATATAAATATACAAATATATTTATTTATAAATATTTATAAATGTAATATAAATGCATAAATGTATATAAATATAAAAATATAAAAATTTATATTTTATTATTTATAATTTAAGCATTTATACATTTATACATTTATATAATATTCATTTATAATTTATACATTTATAATAATATACTTTTATACATTTATAAATATATTTAATTATGTATTATATATAACATAATACATTTATATATTTGTATATAAATATATAAATATATTTATTTATAAATGTATTATAAATGTATAAATGTATATTGTTATAAAAATTATAAATTATAAAAATAATCGAAAACATGTTTTAAAAATACATCTAAAAATAATCCATAAAACATCTACAGTAAAAGTTTTTCATATAGTTTTTGAAAAACAATCCCAAAAACAACTAATCCAAACGGACTTGTATTTGAAAAACGAAATGCTACAGTATTGTTTTTGAAAAACAATCCCAAAAACAGCTAATCCAAACGGATCCGTTGTTAATTGAAATATCAGTAGTGTCCTTTTCTAAATGCTAAATCAATAAACGGTTTAATTGCCTTGTATATAGGGATGACAATGGGAGCGGCTGCCCGCGAGGGGCTAATAGGTCAGGGCGGGGGGAATTTTTCCCCTTGTTTAGAAATGAGGCGGAGGGCGGGGGAGTACCCACCCCATTCCCCGTCCCGCCACACATTAAAAAAATTAATAAATATATATATGTATATAATTACATATATATATAATTTAATTTAATTAGTTATAAACTTATAATAACGATATTATTAGTTATATGTATTATATAATATATATTAGTATATGTAATATAATGATATTATCAATTATACTAATAATTATACGTCTCTACTAATAGAAATTATTATTAGTTATACTAAATTTACTAATACAGCTATACTAAACTCCTAATTACACTTAAGGCAATAACACTTTTTTTCTCAAAAAAGAAAACACAATAATGACTTAGTGATTGTATTTGTGTCAAAATGAAAAATTAACTACTTTAGTTGTATTTGTTTCATCATGTTGAATTGTATTCAAATAGTTTTTGTTTGATTATTTTTATAAGTTTCAATTGTAAAATTACAATGGATAATAACTTGGTGATTTGTTAATATTTTAGCATTTGATTATTTACTAAATTTTGATTATAATAAAATTATATGACAAATTTTTATTAGCTCCGTCGGAGGACCCGCAGGGGAAGAATGGCTTGGTGGGGGAAGCGAGGGAAGGGGGGCAAGGCGGAGGGGGGGGAATTAGTGGACAGCGAAGCAAGGGGCGGGGAAGGGGTCCCCTATCCCAACCCCACCCCATTGTCATTCTTACTAGTAAAAAAATATTGGAGTATTACGCGGATGAATGTAAAAATCACAGAAGGTAAAATGGATATTTATACAAACTATTAGGGGTTATATGGAGATTACAATTTTTCACATGTGCTGTTAAAGTGCATTAGGTAAAATCACCGCAACTAATTGTGCATTTCGTCCATTTTATACCTTACATAAAACTATATGAGGATTATGTAACTATTTTAAAACCTTAAAGGGATAATCTACATTATATAAAACTATAGGAGATTATAAATAATTTATGCTAAGTTAAAACTTCTTAATCATTTTTGGGCAACATATATACAACCTTCTTCCTATGTCGTTTATTTCCAAGTCTTATAACCCTAGCCCCCTCTCATCTCTTCCTCCTCAGTTCTCCCATAACTAGTTGCTCACTTGCTCCTCGTCGGCCTCCCCCTCGAGCCGCTTTTTCCCTCCTCTCCCCTCCTCCTAACATTCTATTTTTCCGCCTCCATTCTCTCTGATGCCAGGTTTTCCGCAAATTATCTCGTCTTCAGCCCCTTTGTTGCCACTGCAAGTGCAGTCACGAGCACCCGATGGCCGACAATACTTTCGTGGCACCCCTAAACTCGCTGGTCACCGTCGCCTTCTTTGCGGCTTACAGGTTACATGACTAATTATAATCAGTTGAAAATGATAAAAAAAAATTAAAAAAAAATCTTGCTTCTCCTAATTAGAGTTGGGCCTCTCGATCTCCTAAGTTATATAAAAATATTACTACTTCTTCAATGAAAATTTTCGGTACTTGACAACCTTGTTCACTTTCGCAGCTCTCTCCTCCTCTGCCCCGGAATCCCGCCTCTGGTATGATGATCAGGCTCCCTTCTCAGCCTTCTGCCCGACTTAATCCTTCTGCCATTACAGGTCTAATTGCTTCTTTTCCCTTTTTTCTTTTTTGAGCTTTCAATTTTATTTTAGGTACAATGTTAGTTTTGACGGCAATGGTGATTTATGTGATTAAATAATCTCTCATTTTATTTTTGGCTGGCTAGCATTTGATAAGCGTTCTCCTTTGTTGAGGGCTCTATCGGACTCTGCCTCAGACTTTGGCTATGGTTAGTTTGGATTAGAATACTTTATGCACTAACTATCTTGCGAATCAGTGACTTGGTTTTATTTTGATTGTCTTCAGGTCTTTCGGTGGGCAAGGAGAAAGCCAAGCTACAACATGATTATGAAATAGCAAATATCAAAGTTTCTGAGCTTTCATATCAATCTTTTGCCTATGGCGTGAAGCATTATTCCATACATGTGCTAGTTGTTGTGGTAATGAATTTTTTGCAGCTTTTCTTCTTTTGGTTTTTTGGGGTCAAATTGAAACTAAATTCTTTCCTTTTATTTTGTTACTAAAGTTTGGGATTAGAGTGGTAGCGAAGCTGATCGAGTTGTTTAGAGAATCTGGACTTGAACTTCTTACATCATTTTGGTTCTTGATCACTACGATGTTTTTCACCACTGCAATGGTATAGATCGATGTTTTTCTACAAGAATTACATATGGATAAATTCAGATATCTGCATATTATTTACGCTTTTTTTTTTCTTTTTTTTTTTGAATTTTTTGTTAGATTTGGTTCTTGGTCGATGCTTTGATCGTGTCAAGCTTTCCACGGTACAGATTGGAAGAAGCAATTCAAGACCTTAAACTTGCTAAATTTAAATTGGATCAGCATAATGCGGAGCAATTGGTAAAAGCTTCTTAGAAGATGTCCAAATGACGGAATGCTTTAAAGAAGCAAAGCCATTTGAGGGGGAAGATGGAACTTGAATAGTATTACAAGAATTTTATTTTATTTTTTTTTAGTTTTTGAGTTTGGTTATATTTGTTTTGAAGATGGTAAAGGACATGGCTTGCTAACTATGAAAAAAAAAAACTGTGTCTCTTATGATACTCCCTCCATCCTATTTTGATAGTTTTATTTTCTTTTTTTCATCCATATCAAATTATAGTCCACTTTTTAATTGAAAAATATAATTTATTTTTATTTTTTTAGAATACCCCTATGATGGCTAGTCATACTCCTAATATTAGTGTATAGTTATTTTAGAAAAATAGTAGGCTAGATTTACTTTGAAAAAAAAAAGTTCAATACTATCTAAGTGGAACCGAGGAAGTAATTTTTTTGGAGTATTTATTCTTTCATTTCAATCACACGTCCAATACATATACACACACAATACATATAGACACACATATATATGCATATGTATATGTGTAATTTTGACAGCCAGCCACTGCGCATTGGTCCAAAAGGTTCCCTTCTGCATTCTCACAAACGCTGTCTGCATAAATCTTTAAGATCAGATAGTAGAACCATTCGAAATACTATACATACAATGATTATGCATTTTAATTTTATTTACACGAACTTTTGACAGTTTTCTGAATTTATTAACTCTTGGATTATCAATTGCTTTGGATTATAGGAGCTATTACATCTATATATATAGATTGGAGAGACCGGGGAAAGGAATTTGGAAAGCCAATTTCACCTCATTGAAACATAAAAGAAATAAAATTAAAAATTGTGCCTCAAAAATATAAATAAAGGAGTAGAAATTTCAATTTGTCTGTTTCCTCCGGGTGGACCAGTAACCGTCTTAACAGAACAACGGAACGAGCAACAGTACACCAACTCCAACCGCTGGTTCGCAATGCATTCTGCCGCCGGCACTGCCGGCGGTGGCCCATCCCGGGGCTCTTTCTACGCAGCCCAAAAGTCAAAATTCCCACTCATAAAACACATGAAAAACCCAAGAGAAATCAATCTCCACCGCTCCTCCTCTGCTTCAGCAACTTTGATCGCCGACAATCAAGATCTTCTGCTGCGCATTCTACACTGCTTACCTCCAATATCACTCATCCGATTCCAAACTGTCTCCAAGAAATGGCTATCCATTATTTCCAGCCCGGATTTTTGCCGTCTTCACTGCCGGAAATACCCCTCTACTGCAGCTTCTTCTACTGCCGCTTCAGCCCTTTTCCTGTTTCGCAAAATAGGCGGAATCCGGGAGCTCAATTTCATCTCTCTTGATCAAGAATACGTGAACTCGATGGGTGGCATCTTTTCCCGCTTAACTAATTTCGTTAAGGGTGAAATTCTTGGCTTACATTCATGCAATGGTTTGTTGTGCATCGAATTCAACATGAATTATTCTGCTCGAGAGTTTATTGTTTTCAATCCTACTACTAATCAGCACAGGGTTATTCCCCTAGTCAAACCTGCGAATAAGCTATCATATGTACATCCATACGTGAATATTGCCTTTGACCCATCAAAATCTGATCATTACAAACTAGTGTGTGCGTGGGGGGATAGTGATCGTCCTAAATTTCGTTTTTTGGTGTATTCATCTGAAACTGGGATCTGGAGGGAGATGGTCAAGACTTTATGCATTGTTGAAAGTTGGAGTGATAAATTGTCTAATTTTACCGAACCGTATCATTTTGATAGAGGAGTGTTGTGGAATGGTGATCTGCACTGGGTTTGTAAAACAGGCGATGATACGATATGCTTTGATTTGGATAATGAGTGCGTGAAACCCGAAATGCCTGATCTCCCATGGTCAAATGGCTGGCATGAAGTCTGTTATTTTGGGGAGTCAGGAGGGGAATTGTATGCGATAGGGCTAAACAATCCTCAAACATTGCTGTTTGATGTTTTCTCATTGAAGAGGGACTATTCTCAGTGGGTTGTAATGTCTTGTATCGATCTTACTCCTTTGGTTACTTTGTATCCGGCGATGGTGGACCAACGGTATGATCCTGCTGATGAGAAGATGTGTGATTTCCATATGCCTTATTTTCTGGTGGACGAGGCAAACAAGCAGCGAAGGCTTGTGATATCACTAGATGGCAAAGTCATTTCTTACAGCATCGATGATATGACCGTCAAAGAGATTGCTGAAGTCGAGCCAGGGCTGCTTTTCTGTTCCTTGAGGGATGCCACAAAGTACAGATGGAGCGAAGCTTGTCAGCATGTTGAGACGCTAGCATGTGTATAGTTAGTCTATGTCTGTATAGTATATGCAGTTAGTGACTTGATACTCACTCGATTTGCTTACTTCGAAATGTCATTGAGGTATGGATAGCTTCTGTTTTGTTGGTAGAAATGTTATCTTAGATGGATGAAGCTATGTTTTAGTGTAGGGCAGTAAAATGGGCAGATATGTTGTAACTTCACAGTATCCATTCGTCGAATAAATGTTTCAAGATTTATCAGCATCTAATTTCTGAAGGATTCTTCCTTTCTTATTTGGTTAAAAGCTTCCTATGGATATCTGTTTTTAGCTGTGCATGGCTTAGACAACTCTGATGTGCATTTCAAGAAATTCATTGGGAGCCCTTCTGATTTGGTGAAGCCATTCAGAGGTCAATATCTTGATGGCATCTCTAATCATTGTTAAAGTCTATGTCATCGCACTTTGCCACTAGATTTTGGATGGCCCTTACTTTCAGCATCCAAGTCTATGGTGTTTTTTGGCACATTGAAGTTTGTAATCTAAAATTTGACGTTTGAAAGTTAATTGTTAAAGTCTATATCTGTATGATAACTAATTGAATCTAATCGTTGAATTGAAATATTGCATAAACGAGAGAGAAAGAAAAGTGTTTCTGTGTGCTTAAGAGAAAATGGTAAAATAATTAAGAGGTGGCATTTATGTGCGTGCGTTTGTGTGTGAAGATGATGAAAAAGATAAGTTATGTTACTTGGTGAGAGTGTTGTACACATGAAATTTTTGAATACAAATTAAGCAATATTTATTATTATTATTTAATGCATTACGTATTTTAAATGGTAAGACATTTCCATTATCGAATTTGCTTAGGGCATTAAATGATAAGGCATTTATTTTATGATTTAATTAACCCCTATCATCTAATTAATAATTATCCTCCGCAACTTCATCTACACATTTGCAATTTCGCACTCTACCGTCGACGTTTCAGCTAGTTAGAATGCTTTCCGGCGACACCTCCCAAAATCCCTCCACCGCCGCAAAACCCAAAAGGCGGGTCATCAAATACTCATTCAAACCCATCGAAATCTTTCTCTCCTCCCCTGCTTCACCCACCTGCGCCACCACCCATACCCCCCCGATATCAAACCTTCCTCAACAAGAAGAAGAAGAAGACCAAAATGAGAATTCCTTCTCTTCATCGCTTGCCGCATTTGTTATAGCCCACAATGAACATCTAGCAACTCATATTTTACTTCGCTTGCCCCCAAAATCCCTTCTTCGCTTCCAGTCCGTTTCCAAACAATGGCAATCAATTATTTCCGACCCCACTTTCCGCCGTCTCCACTCGCGGGGTTGCCCCACTAACACAGCCTCCTGCTCCCCTCCCGGGGTGCTTTTGTTTCCGTTAGAACGTCCCCGTGTTTTTTATTTCATTGCGTTCCGCCAGGAGGAGGTAAATTCAATGGCCAACATCGTTTCTCACTTGAATACTTTCCTTTACGGGCCCCGCAACATTTCAGCTTTACATTCTTGCAATGGTTTATTAGCTATAGTGTTTAATTTCGATAATCGTGTAGAATTTGTGGTTTATAATCCCACTACTCGGGAGTCTAAGCTTGTTCCAATGATTGAAACTCCACATAACCGTAAAGTTCTGAATATTGTGTTTGATCCTGAAAAGTCTGATCACTACAAGCTTGTTTGCATTTGGTATGAAAATGAGGTTCACAGATTCTCTGTGTATTCCTCTGAAAATGGGGTTTGGAGGAATACTGAAGAGATGGCTACTGACGAATTATATTATGAACGGGGTGTGTTATGGAATGGTGATCTTCATTGGATTAGTCCGTGGAATTTCAGTGCGTGCTTTGACGTCAGCAATGAGCGCCTTAGGCCACTTAGGTACACCATAAACACGCCCGAGGGCGAGGAATATGTAGATGATTGGTATTTTGGGGAGTCAGGGGGCCATCTCTTTTATATTCATGCAAATGAACCTCAGGGAACGCTGTTTGATATTTTCAAGTTGGAGTTGGAGAGGGACTGTCTTTGTTGGAATTTCAAGTATCATGTTGATCTTACTCCATTGACTACTCTGTATCCACAGATGATAACGGAGAAATATGAGCTTGAGAAGCCATGTGCGTTCTATATAACTCGTTTTCTTGTGGATCACAAAGAAAAGACAACAGTGTTTGTGATAGCACTTACTGGAAAAATCATTTCTTGTGATTTTAACAACTTGACTTTGATGGAGCTTGCTGATGTGGAGCTGGATACAAATTATGGTTTTCCTGACAATGATGTCTACAGATGGGATTTCGCTTTTCAACATGTCGAGACACTAGCTTGTCTTTAATTCCTCTCAATCTTGTTTTGCAGTCCCTGCATTTTCCTACTCATCAATGGTCAGGTTGGTAATGTTGGGCAATGGTGGTGTTGTCTTTGACAAGAGTTCTTGTGGAGACGTATGATATTGTCCTGGGGAATCGATTATAATGTGTCTTAGCAGCTTCTAGATGGCAAAGTCGTTTCTTGTGGTATTGATGATATGATTGTTGAAAAGGCTGCTGAAGTAGTGCTGGAGAAGCTTTAATATTCCTTGAGGGATGTCTCAAGGTACAAATGGAGCGAAGCCTATCAGCACATTGATATGTTAGCTTGTGTACAATTGGTCTATGTCTGTTTAGTATATGTTGTTAGTGACTTCCTGCTCACTGGATTTGCCTGCTGTGAAATATCATTGAGATGTCTATTTTTCCTATGCTTCTTGTTAGAGATGTTATCTTGCACGATTGAAACTATACAACTGTGAATGAGTGTAATCAGATATGATGCCCTAGAAGAGTTAAGCCGCTTATCCCTTCTGTAGTTGCAAAGTCAGTACTAATGTTACTTGATACTAGACATCCGTTGGATAGATGTTTCAAGATTTATCAGCATCTGATTCTTAAAGGATTGCTGTTCCTTTATCATAATTAGCTTACAATGGAATTGTATTTTTAGCATGTATAGCTTAGATGCAGAGGTTTTTTCTAATTCTGGTGTGCATTTAAGGAATTTGATTCCATGCCCTTTTGATTTGGTTAATACATTGCATCATAGTAGCTTATCACTGGTTTCTAATAAAGTTTTAACCATCTTTAGACAAAACTTGAAATTTATGAGCTTATGGAGAAGTCTTTAGCAGCTGCTTTTGTTACAAATTGGTTAAGTATGCATGATTGCTGCATTTTAAGCAAAGTACTTGGACACACTTCGCCATGGTTATGGCCCTTGCGTGGAATACTGTATATTTAGGACTGGTATTCACTCTGTTTTCAAGAAAGCCAATATCCTAAATTTTCTATTTATTGAATATGCAGTGGAAAAATGCCTATTGAGGATTGCTGTCCTTCTAGTACACCGGCACAGAGCGTTATTTGATCTTGATTGATTCTTTACCAGTAAATCATTTCTGAGTGGTAAAGAAAACATATTTTCAGATGCTAACCAGTTAACACATGCATCCTTGCTAAGTTCATTGGAGGTTTTGGAAGCACATAACAGCATATGTTAAGTATTGAAAAGGGCAAAGGTGCTTGTTAAAAGAGGATGCTGTTGCTAAGTTAAAAGATTATCAAATTCGAACTTCAGTGCTTCGGGAACAGATATTAAGACCTGATGAATGAGATGTCATAAATGTTGTTGCAGGGCAATTTTTTAGTTCAATTAAATCTGTCCTAAACAATTTTGAATTTAGGTCTTTTGCAGCTGAGGAATGATCCAATTCACTGTGAAATCCCAAATTTATTAGGCTTTTGCAAAACTCAGATATTGGTAAACATTGTTGTCATCTTGGGCAACTTTACTTCTCTTTTGGGAATTTGATATCTATACTCTTGAGACGCTTAGAATTTGCCTATGGTATGTAGTGAATGCACGGCCTAACTTCCCTAGATTAATGCAATGCATTTGCCCTGATTTATGGAATGATAAGCTTCGAGCAATTCCCAGGTTTAATTTTTGATGTATTTGAGATACTCTGTAGTGTAAATAGATCAGTATACACCATCATTTTGTACATCACAGTTGTTTCTTCTCTTATACCCCTGTTTCTTTCAGTTTGATCAAACAAGATAGTAATACCATATGCAGCACTTCTTTTATAAGTCTACTTTGGGAGATGACCTCCTATTGATCCTGTTGTTTCTCCTATGATCATGTTCTGCAGTGGTTAGTTTCTTTTATGATATAGAATAACAATCTTATGATTGACAACCTGTAATGTATCCTCTAGACTTGTATTCTCAGAAATGAGAATTACCTAATGAGTAATTAGCATGAGTCCAAGAACATCAATTTTCACACGTGAATTGGAGGATATAACTCCAAATTTTAGTTGAGATCTTGGTTTAGTGGAAAGGTTTGAAGCGGTTAAGGTTGAGGGAATAAGAGTTGGAGATCCTGTTTTCAAATTTCACTGTATGTGACTTTTTTCTCTTGTATTACTCACACTATAATGTACAAGGGGTTCTTTTATCTGTATCAAATAACAAGGAAAAAAAAAAAAGCAGTTTTGAGTATGGCCTTGTTTGATACATTGAAGTTTAAAATGTAAAATTTAAAGTTTGAAAGTTAAGTGGTGAAAGTATTAGACGGATGAGTTTTGATATGATAACTAATTGAGTCCAATCACTGAATTGAATTTTTTTTCTTTTTTTGGTCGAAACGATAGCTTTGTATTTCATATTCAAGTGTTTACAGTAAATGGACAAAGGTCCAATCAATCAAAAGGACAGTAGTCCTACATCTGTCAATGATGCATTAGCATCTGAGAGTGGGATTAACCCATTCTTCATCTAACCAATCACTGAATTGAAAATATTGCATAAATGTTGCATTTGTTAATGTGGAATTGAGAGAGAGAAAAATGTCTCTCCGTGCCTAAGAGAAAATGGTAAAATAATTACGAAGTGGCATTTATGCGTGTGCGTTTGTGTGTGAACGTGATTGAAAAAGATAAGTTATGTTACTTTGTATGTTGTACACATAAAATGGATAATATATTTGATAACAAATTTTTAACTTAAAATTTTGAATGCAAATTAAGCAATATTTATTATTATTATTATTTAATGCATTACGTATTTAAAGTGGTAAGACATTTTCATTGTCGATTATTCTTAATGTATTAATGCACAAATAATATTAATGTATAAATAGGAAGTCAGATCCGTTATCGAATATGCTTTATGTATTAGTATTAGATGATAAGGCAATGGTATTATCGTTGATACTGCGTTTAAGGGATCAATCATCGTTATCAAGTGATAAGATAGAGAATTATCAGTCAATTCAGCCCCTGGGCCCTCTCTAATTATCCGCTCTATTTACTCTTCTTATGGTGACAGAAATAAGGGATAATTTCAGAAATGAGATTTCTGATAACTTCGCCTGACTCTTCTAAAGTTTCAAAAATTACAACTATCTCCTTTACCCATTTAAAATGACAATACTAACCTTAATATTTTTAAAAAAAAAATCTTTTGTTGCTATGTTTATACAAAAGATGGATTTTATAATTATTTTTCCTTTTTCCTTCTCATTCATTTCTCTCATATTTCATTAAAAATATAGAAGAATTATCAATGTTGTCCATAGTATCTATCCAAATCAAATATTAAACTTGTAATATTTTTTTGATAACTTTTAACATCATCCTTTTTTTTTTTGCAACCTTTTTTTGTATTAAAATCAAAAATAAATCAACAATAATTGAAAACAAAATGGCCTAAAACCTCCCCTGAGATTTTTGATAATTTTAATTGGCTCCCCTACTATTTCAAAAATTTCACCTACCTCCCTTATCCATTTAAAATAACAACACTAACTTTAATATTTTAATAAAAGTCTCCTATTGCCATGTTTATACAAAAGATGGATTTTATAATTGTTTTTCCTTTTTCCTTCGTATTCATTTCTCTTATATTTCATTCGAAATATAGAAAAATTATCAATGTTGTCCTTAGTGTCTATCAAAATCAAACATTAAACTAGTAATATTTTTTGATAACTTTTAACATCATCCATTTTTTTTTTTGCAACCCTTTTGTATTAAAATCAAGAATAACTTAACAATAATTAAAAACAAAATGGCCTAAAATCACTACCAAACTATGGTAGTTCTATCACTAAACCAATCCATAAACTTTTATTAAAAAAAGTAGTCCACAAACTTTAAAAAATAAAAAGACACTTTCTTATCTATCGTAAAAAGAATCTGTATCCCCCAATAAAGTTCTATAAAAAATAGCCTATTATGACAAAAGATTTATTGTTATAGTTAATTATTAAATAACAAATATTCGTATGAAGAACTTGACCATCTTTTTTTATAATTGTTTAGAAAAACAAATTAAACTTTATAAGACAAGGGCATTTTATGATATTCATTAAAATTTTCACTCTATTTTAAGTTTTGGTTACCAAAATATCTAATTAAGGGAGATAAGTATAATGTTTAAAACGTCAGGAAACTAAGCGAAATAGCTAAATATCTAAGGGGAGGTTTATGAAATTATCCCAAGAAATAAATGTGACTTTCCATTCAAACACCGCCTCACTCCACCGGCCACGTTGTAGCTGGTCAGAATGCTTCCCGGCGACACCTTCCAAACTCCTTCCGCCGCCGCAAAACCCAAAGGGCAGATCATCAAACACTCATTCAAACCCATAGAAATCTTTCTCTCCTCCCCTTCTTCACCCATCTCTTCCACCACCCATACTCCCTCAAAATCGAACCATCCTCGACAACAAGAAGAAGACCAAAATCCCAAGAGCCCATGCCAGAGTTCCTCCTCTTCATCGCTTGCAGCATTTGTTATAGCCCACAATGAACATCTCGTAACTCATATTTTACTTCGTTTGCCCCCAAAATCCCTTCTTCGCTTCCAATCTGTTTCCAAACAATGGCAATCAATCATTTCCAACCCCACTTTCCGCCGTCTCCACTCGCGGGGTCGCCCCACTACCACTGCCTCCTGCTTCCCTCCCGGGGTGCTTTTGTTTCCGTTAGAACTTCCCCGTGTTTTTGGTTTCATTGCGTTCCGCCAGGAGGAGGTAAATTCAATGGCCAACATCGTTTCTCACTTGAATACTTTCCTTTACGGGCCCCGCAACATTTCATGTTTACATTCTTGCAATGGTTTATTAGCTATAGTGTTTAATTTCGATAATCGTCAAGAATTTGCGGTTTATAATCCCACAACTCGGGAGTCTAAGCTTGTTCCAATGATTGAAACTCCACATAACTATAAAGATCTGAATATTGTGTTTGATCCTGAAAAGTCTGATCACTACAAGCTTGTTTGCATATGGGTGGGTTCATCTAAACAATGGGTTCACAGATTCTCTGTGTATTCCTCTGAAAATGGGGTTTGGAGGAATACTGAAGAGACGGCTACTGACGATTTATGTTATGATAAGGGAATGTTATGGAATGGTGATCTTCATTGGATTAGTCCATGGAATTACAGTGCGTGCTTTGACGTCAGTAACGAGCGCCTTAGGCCACTTAGGTACACCATAAGGACGCCCGAGTTCGAGGAACATGGAGGTGATTGGTATTTTGGGGAGTCAGGGGGCCATCTGTTTTATATTCGTCCAAACGAACCTTATGGAATGCTGCTTGATTTTTTCGAGTTGGAGTTGGAGAGGGACTGTCTTCGTTGGAATATCAAGTATCATGTTGATCTTACTCCTTTGACTACTCTGTATCCACAGATGATAAAGGAGGAATATGATCCCACGTTTGACGAGCCATGTGCATTCCATATAATTGGTTTTCTTGTGGATGACAAAGAGAAGAAAACAACGCTTGTGATATCACTTGCTGATAAAATCATTTCTTGTGATTTTAACAACTTGACTTTGATGGAGCTTGCTGATGTGGAGGTGGATACAAAGAGAGATGTCTACAGTTGGTATTTGGCTTTCCCACATGTCGAGACACTAGCTTGTCTTTAATTCCTCTCAATCTTGTTTTGGCGGGAAGCGACTTAGCAGTCCCTGCATTTTCCTACTCATCAATAGTCAGGTTGGTAACGTAGGGCAATGGTGATGTTGTCTTGGACAAGTGTTCATGTGAAGACATATGATTTTGTCATGAGGAATCGAATATAACGTATCTTAGCAGCTCGTAGATTTTGTTGTTTTCGAGTGCACTGATACTATTTTGTTTTGTCAAAAGAAAAAAAAAATCCTCTTTGCAAAGTTTTTAGATCCCTCCCTTCCCCCCCCCAAGAAAAAAAAAAACCTAGATATCTTTGTCCAGTCATTGTATAAAACCAAACAGTAATCTTTGCATTGCTTGAGCTCTGAGTATATTGATTACAATGGCTTCTTAGTATATTGATTACACAAATTCGCCATCAGCAAATGCTTGAGAGACCTGTTTTGTTATTTGGAAATATCTTTAAGAAGATGGATATGTACACTATTATCTTCATCTTCATTCTAAAAAGAATCCAATATTTCATCTCTCTCGATCAAGAAATTTCAGTGAGGTATGGATTTTTTCTATGCTTGTTGTTAGAGATGTTGTCTTACACGATTGAAGCTATGTGTTAACATTAGGGCAGTGAATGAGTGTAATTGGATATGATCCAGTAGAAGAGTAAACCACTTAACTTACCCAAAAAAAAAAAAGGAAAGAGTTAAGCCACTTAACTCTTCTGCAGTTGCAAAGTTCTGATGTTACTCGATACTAGACATTCGTTGGATAGATGCTTCAAGATTTATCATCATCCAATTCCTGAAGGATTGGTACTGTCCTTTTCATAATTAGCTCCATATGGAACTGTGTTTTTAGCTGGGTATAGCTTAGATGCAGGAATTATTAATTCTGGTGTGCGTTTGGGAATTTCATTCCTTGCCCTATTGATTTGGTTAATGCATTGCACCATAGTTGCTTGTCACTGGTTCCTAATAAAGTTTAAACCTTCTTTGGACAAAAACTTCAAGTTTATATGAGCTTTCAACAAAGTCATTCACAGCTCATTGGTTAATGGGACATCTGTAATGGTCATTCACATTGGTTAAGTATACATGATTATTGCATTTTAAGCGAACTACTTGGTCACATCTCGCCATAGTTATGGCTGTTACATAGAATACTGCATATTTAGAAGTGGTGTTCAGTGTTCACTCTGCTTTCAAGAAACCCATATATATCCTAAACATACTCATCGAATATGGGATGGAAAAGTGCATATTGAGGATTACTGTCCTTGTGATACACCTGCACAGAGAGTTATTTTACATCCCTTTATATAAATTAGGTATCTTGGTAGAACAAGATGGTTGACCTTGATTAATTCTTACCAGTAAATCGTTTCTGAGTGGTAAAGGAAAATATTTTCAGATACTAACCAGTTAACGCAAGCATCCTTGCTAAGTTCATTGGAGGTTTTGGAAGCACATAACAGGAAATATTAAGATTAAATATTGTAAAGGGTCAAAGACAGTTGTTAAAGGAGGATACTGTTGCTATGTTAAAAGATTATCAAATTTGAACTTCAGTGCACCGGGAATAGATATTAAGACCTGATGAATAAGAGATGTCATGAATGTTGTTGCATGGCAATTTTTTTAGTTCAATTAACACTTCCCTAAAAGATTTTGAATTTTAGGTCTTTTACATGAGAAATTATCCAATTCACTGTTATATTGCAAATTTAGGCTTTTGCAAAACTCAGATATTGGTAAACCTTGTCAGCTTGGGCAACTTCTATTTTGGGAATTTGATATCTGTACTCCTGAGATGCTTCGACTTTGCTTTCGGCATGTAGTGAATGCACGGCCTAACTTCCCTTGGATTAATGCAATGCATTTCCCCATACAAATTCAATGGTAAGCTTTGAGCCATATGCCAGATTGATTAGATTATTGGTCTGAATTTTCTTTTTCAGTGTACATCAGAGTTCAGTTTTGTCTTGTGTCTCTGTTTCATTTGTTTTATCAAACAAAATAGGAACATTATACGGAACGTTTCTCTCTTTGTTGGTCTGCTTTGAGATATCATCTCCTGTGATCCTGTTATTTCTTAGTTCCCATATTTTGTCACATGTTTGCATCTTCTTCAATCAATAGTTCTTTTGTGATACAAAACATTCATCTTTAGTTGCATCTGCATGGGTTTGCTTGTCTTTGAAAGATTCTCAAACTTATCCATTTTGAGCTTTGTGGCCACAATGTCGAATTCTGGTTGCTAGGATTTGCCCCCATATCCTGTTAAAGATCCATGATAGACCATGAATTGACATTTTAGTCATCAAATTATAAGAGATAAACAGGTAGCTTTACTCTTTGCTTGTAGTTCTTGATAGCTGAAGAGGGCAGCATACACTTGAAGTTCTGGAGTGTGAGTATTTTCAAGAACTAGATAGTAGCATTAGTTTCTATTTTTGCCGCTTTACCAATTCGTTTCCTTTGGGCTGTCACTTTTAATTTTGATTAAAAACAGAGATCTTAAGATGTCTTATTTTTTAACTGATGGCCGTGGATTCAGCTGTAGAAACTATATGTTGTAGCAATAAGATGTGACTCATTTTCTGGAGTTTTCATTTCATATTTGTGAAAACAAATGTTAATAGCATTCTGATTCCAGCCAGAGAAAATATATTCTGAATTTTCTATTTTAGCCATGACTTTACTGGCCAAAGAACAATTCAGGCCTTTTCCAATCTGACTGGATTGCAATTTTTTGAAAAAATTGCTACGTTTTTCGTGCACACATTTTTCAATTACTTTTTTTATCTCACATATATTAAAATGCTACAGTAATTTTTTTACAAAAAGTCCGGAAAAATGCAATCCAAAGAAAGAAGTCATACTTTAGGGAATGGAGATTGGAGAATGAGATCACACCAAAGGATCTTTGTTGCTTTTTTCCATCTTATGATGAAAGTTTGATATTCCCTGCCACTATCCCCTTGTAATATCTGCTATTTGCTTAGGACACAAAAAAATAACAAAAAAAGGAATTAGCTCCTGTAGCCACACTACAATTATTAGTCTTGCCGTACGGGGTAATTCCGTATTATTTTCCCGCGGAAATATGAATATAGAGTTCCAATATGGGTAATAACGGCTTTGACCCCATGTGGTGTCGACTAAAAACATATATAGCTTGACAAATAACGACTGGCTTTTTAAAAAAAAAAATTCTTTTGCAACATGTAACGTGTTAGTTGCATTGTTTTGAATTGCTGCTAAGTGAATCGCTTTCCTGATAAATATAGATTTGTTTCAAGAAAAAATTTGGATGGATTTGACTCTGGCCACAACGAGAGGTCATGGCATGTTTTTGGAATCATACGCTACTTAGAGGGATTCTTACAAATTGCCCGTCGACATAGTTTTCACATGTGCAAGGACCTCACACCCAATCTTTTATGAGAAAATAACTTATTCTTATCAACTAAATCAACTTATATTGACCAATAAATATAGAATGCATTGGGTCTGTAAATATATTAGCATCCTTCCCTAAAGACTGGCGAGTGATTCAATATCTTAGGGAGTCGGGAATGAATCTATATACTTTAGAAGTCCAGAAATCGAGCAGTTGCGATATAATTACATGCAAGGAAAAGTCATTTTGTATGGCTGACTAAAACATGATTGGTTTTTTTTGCAGCTAAGAGTAGGCAAAAATAACCACTTACTTGAAAACCTATCATATCCAATTCGATTTGAATCAAAAAATAGAGTATTCGATCTATATTATTTGACTGGATCAAAATACAGTAAAGTATCTACTCATATGCACAGCAAGAACCACGGGTACCTAACCCGCCTCGCATACATATTATTTATTTTTTTGTTTTTATACACATACTATGAAATAATGTTTTTAGTGTTAACTAAGTAATTTCATTGAACAAATTACATTATAAAATATGAGAGACTGTAGTTACAAGATTCATTTTGTAGAGATCATAATCTTATATTTTTTTAGAAAATATTTTAATTGATGTGAAATATATTTTTTTAAAAATGTACTGCTTATTTGAAATGTTCATTGATTTTGAATTCTTTTAATTTTTCCTTTTTCTAATTAATTTCTATTTATTAAAAATCAATTATTTACTATAAATAGTTTACTTATAATTTCTCTTTTTCATCGTCTTCTTTTTTCTTTATGCTTACTAACAATTTATTTGACACCCAAACATATACAATTATTTTCCTATAGAATATTTAACTACCGTAAATTATAATAAGAAACTAATATATATATATATATATATAGTAATAGCATTTTATGTAATTTCTATTTTTACTAACAACTAGTGCATCTTAAACATCTTATTAACAATTACTGCATGCTAGTGCATTGTCAACATTTTATCAACAATTAATGCACAAATAGAAACCGTCAAAGAAAACAAAGGAACTATTTAAGTTACATTTATTAAATGTACACTTTCCCATCTCATATATCAATTTACGATAGCTAGATATGTTATATAATCAATTGAAGATAAAAATATTTATCCATTGAAAGAAATTATTTACAAGAAAGCAATACTATATGTTAAACCATAAAAAAAACTATTTAGTACATTATTCTCAAAATTTGTATATCATACTTGATACGGAGAAAGAGTAGAAATAAATCTATACATATTAAAGAAAAAGATGGAAAAGGTAAAGAAGAGAAAAAAGAAAAAGGATAATCTAACACTAATATCTAATAATGAGGACACAATTATCCTTTTGCTAGAGACATACATTTGATTACTAGTCAATAGGGAACAATTTATAGGTTTAGTGAATATTGGGTGTAATTTGCTACTTACTCTAATTACAAGGGGTTAATATGTGATTAAGCCATTTCCCTTCAAGTCCTATCTACAAGGAGACATGTATGTTGAAGAGTCATGTAGGATCAGATATAACATGTCTTGGCAGCTTCTTGACTTTTTAATTTTTGTGTGCATTGCTATTATGGCTCATGGTTCTTGAAATTCTAATGATGGATGCTTCGAGCTTTATTTGCATTTTAGTAGGTTTTTAGTTTTATTTTGATAAACAGAAGAACTTCTTGTTTCATGAACAATGATTCTCTTGATACTTGAGAGCAGCATTTTAAGCTAAGTTTTCAAAAGCCTTCTTAGCGTGCTTTTGAGAATGTGCATTCCCTGCTTTTGAGATAAACTAGTGTCTTTATAATTTTAAGGTAAAATATGCTCTTTAAGCATGTAAAAGGGTAGTTTTAGGACATTTTACAGTACTTTATTTGTACCATTTTGACTCTTTTTTTCTTTTAAGTTATACCCTTTTTTTTGGGTTAATTATAACCTTTTCCATGTTGTGATACTCCTCAGCCAAACGAAATATTCCACTAAATGAAGGTCTAAAATCAATTTATTTCAAATCCAGTCGTGTGAAATCCTTCTTTCAATTCAAATTTGTCGCATGACGTCCCTCAGTTCTCGGACTTCCTGGCTTTAAATTATTTCATATGTTTTCAGGAGTATAACATTGATTACCACGATTGAAAGAATCAACTTTTCCATTTAACTTGTTGCAACAAAATCCAAAGGGTGTGATGTAGTGCGCCCTTTTAGTCTGGTCAATTCATAGAAGATACGTTAGATCCTGTTTAATAACTCAATTCACTGTTTAAATTTAATGAATTTAAATTTTAATATGTTCAGTTGCAATTGCTAATAAAAAATAAAACATCTGAACTAATTTAATGATACAGTAAACTTGGATACTTGACAATATCCTATGAAAAAAACTACTGTTCCTTTCAGGAAATCAGTTCCTCAATTTATATTCACTAACTGCTTGATACTTTTTTTTTTTTTTTGAATCAGAGAGGATCAATTACGATAGTAATTGATGTTTAAATTATTAGTGGCTAAATTCAAGACTCTACATATTAGATGTCTTGTGATTCAATTTCTCTTTTTTCCTCCCCACTCCTTAAATTCTATCTTTGTCTTACTCTAAAAGAAAATTAAAAATGAAAAAAAAGGTTTTACAATATAAAGATTAAAAAAATGCTTATAGACTAACCCCACTTTGCACCCCTAAACTTGTATCACTTTTTTACTTTGCACCTTCAACTTCAATTTTCAACCCTTTGCACTATAAATTCTCAAGTTTGTCCTATTTACATTTAATGGATGACAACTTTAGTAAAATTAACGGCATAAAGGATCCAACAAATCAATGATATTATTTTGAAAGTGGTCAAAAGGTGCCTAGATATCACAACAAAAATAAAACAAGACATCATCATTAATTTGCTCCATACAATATTAGTCATTGAAACTATACAAATCAATGACAATGTGCTGAAAGTGATTAAAAAAGGGGGAAGGGTTGAGTTGAGTGGTAAGGAGAGAGAGAGATTGCAAATAAAAGATCTTGGTTTCAAGATCTCCCACTTACACGAAAAAAAAAAAGATTAAAAAAGCTAGGTATCCCAAGTAGGAACAAAATAGTATGTTGTCCTTAATTTTCACCATTCTTTATCTTGTTAATTTTGTAAACATAATTATTGATTAGACTTAAATGAGGCAAAGCTTGAGGATTTAGGGTCCAAAATGTTCAAAATTCAGTTTAGGGTGTAAAGTATCTAAAATTGAAATTTACGGTGTAAAATAAAAAAAGTGATACAAGTTTAGAAATGCAAAGTGAAATTGTTCCAATACTTACTTCACAATCTAACAATGATGTTAACCTAAGAATATAATATCAAAAGCGACTATAGCATCTTCCCCTATCATATAGTTGTAATTTCAAAATTACTTATATGAGTTTTTGCCACTAAAATTGTAGTAATCAGTTTTGCATAAAAAAAAAAAGAAAAGGAAAAATAATTGTTTGGATTCATAGAGGAGACTGCTTTTTTTATTTCACCCTCCTCCACTCTCTTGGTTAGCTTTTCATTCATTTGTTGAGAGATGAACTACTGAATAATTGTTGATAATATCTTGCCACTTCTGCTCCCAATTCCTCTTCACTCACAGTCCAAGATCCATCATCTCTCTGTATGTTTTGCATTCTGTTTTTTTTCCCCTCCTCCCTTTAACATTGGCATGAAAAAATCGTGTGTTTTTGTCCCCATCTTTTAGCCATTTACATCTTGCCTTTTGACTCCAATACATTTCTTCCTTTGTATAAGCTTGCTTCAACTAACATTTTAGTTCTTTCTTCTTCTCTTTTCCTTCATCCTCCCCAATCTTTGCCCTCTTCCGGTTGTTTTTTGATTCTTGAGATTTTCAGTTTAGCATTGTCCTGAAATTTATTCCTCCATATGAGTAATTCTACTCTGCAATTAGCTATCTTCTTGGTCACTATGAACATTCTTGAGCCTTCTTGTTCCTTATTCCATGCATTCTTAATCACCCTGATGTATTTCCTCCTGTTGTATCCATCTTTTATCAAAAAAGAACCTCTTTTTGCTCCTCTAAGTACTTGGGTTGGAATCAATCAATAACATATTGCGGTTTGACCCAAAATTCTTTACATGTGTGCACTTAGACCTTTGAAAAGTTGGAAACCAACTTTGGCTACCCAAGGATCTGTCCAGTCTTTGTCTTACTTCTCCTTCATTCTCCGAGTTATTACACCATGTCTATGGATGTCCTTCAAACCCTATGTCAACCAAATCATTTTCTGATATGAATTTTCTGAAGTCATTGAAAGATCAATCCTCTCTTGCTTTCCCGCCCATTTCTTTTCATTTGTCAAAATGTCATTGAAATCTCCTGCTATGATCAATCTTTCACCCCCAAAGTCTTTTTCTTTCTCCTATTGCCTCCCACTGTTGTTTCTTTATTTTTTCCCAGCAATTGGCATAAATGCCAATGAACCACCAATCTGTCTGTGCTTCTGTATCTTGAACCTGCACTTCGATTATAAAAGAGGTGTGCTAGGTCTCCTTTATCTTAATATCACTTTCTAGATGGATGAATCCACCAAAGAACAGAGTTAGTAATACATTTAGCATATTGGGCAAATTCACGAGTTACCCTATTACAACATTTTCTAGCCCAAACAAACAAGTCATTATTATTATATTTTTGTTTTAACACAATGCAACACAAAGCACAAGTAAAAATGTTCAACAGGGACACATCTAATTTCTTCTACTGATCCTTTTTTCCCTGGCGCTTAGAGTAAAACATTACAGTGAATAGTTGCTACAATGGTACATTCGTGTTTTGTTAATACTTCCACTGCAAAATGAGGACTTTTTTTTTTGTGCAAAACTAAAGATGGTTAGGACCCTATGTTTTCTGGTACATTCTTGTTTTGTTAACACCTCTTCTACTGCAAAATTGAGGACATTGTTGTTGAGCAAAATTAAAGATGTTTATGACCCAAATGGACAACTTTAGAATTGTTCTGGAAATTTGATGTCTATACTTATGAGAGACTTCAACTTCTGTACAAAGCTCAAGTGCAATTCTGAACTTCCCCTACTTAATGCCATTGCAAATTTGCACTTGCCACTACTTGTTTCAGACTTTAAGTTAATGTTGAATTTGATAGACTAAGCTCTAGTCATCATGCTGGACCTGCTGTACATAAACCAAATTCAAGAACAAGAACAAAATCAAACCATAAAAAATCCATGTTGTCCATCAGTTCTAAGAGTTCCCAGAGTTCAATTGTTATCTTCAATTTCTGGATGATATTTGACAATCACAAATGAAAGAATCCTCCAATTTTAACTCATCAGCATAAAGTTGGATGATTACATATTAAAAATCCAACATCTAAAACAAGTGTTAAACAAATTCAGCCAGGACGTTTAAATATTGAAACCTCTATCTTAATCACTAGACGAAGGCCTTCTCGATAATTGATTGTAGTTTGAGTCTAAATTATGGTTTTAATTTATTGGTGTGGAAACTCCGAATCCCACAAAGGTGAAGGCCCAAAAGTAAAAAAGTATTTAGAATTGAACCAAAAATCACTAGTTGCTTAACTAATGTCTTATATTAGAAGTTGACTCTTGAGGACTTGTTAACTAGATAAGAACGTCGAACTATTGGGCTTTCATAAGTGTATTTTTGGTGGTTTCCTTTGATGGGCTTTAGGAGATGCTTGAACTAATGGGCTTATAGGAAGCATTTCCATGATATCACAGCTATAATCTCCGCTGGGTTTTCAGAACTGAAACCCAGTAAATAAATGTATTTGCAAGAACAAATTTCTTCTAATCTTTAGCCTTCAAAACCTGCAGTCCTGGCCCAAATGATAGTTGTTATTGTTCCTTTCACTATTTTGATGTTCATTTTGAGTTGGAAATAATCAGTTACATCAAAAGATATAATCAATATAATTAGAATCATCTTCTCATAGAATTATTCTACTTAAAGTTTATAACAAATTGTTGTGTACAAAAAAAAATTTATTTTGCATGGTTTTTTTCATCCCTCCACGGCTATGATATTTTCGTCCAATCATTATATAAATCTAACCATAATCATTGTATTTCTTGAGCTCTCTGATTATCTAATTATTAATTATCAAACCTTCTGCTTCCCCAATTCAAAGATTGCAACAATTGTGATGATTGTTATTTTGAAATAGTTTGAAAAGGTTGATATTTTCATCACACATCATGTGTAAGAAAGTTATACAAGATTCTACAAAATTTACAACTAATCAAAGGAAAAGATGATTGGTTCATGATCCCAAAGAGGGCATAGTGATTACAAGAATAGTTACAAGACAATGGAAGCCTTGAGACGTAGAATCCTTTTTTTTTTTTTTTAATTATTTACCTCCCAACTTATTAATCTTGCTTTACTTACTTTGCTCAAATATAATGCAACCAAACTGTTTTAAGTATTTAATCGGCTGCAAGCAGCTCAACCATCTTTTTCCCAACATTATCACCTCGAAAAAGTCCTGCAAAAGCAGATGGTATGCTTTCCACACCATGCGACATGTCTTCAAGAACATGCAACTTCCCACCCTGTAGGTGCTCAAGTGTGGTTGAAAGGAAATCCTTATAGACTTTCTTGTAATGATCAGCAGCTAGAAATCCTTGAATTGTGATCCTTTTGTACACAACATTCACCATGTTGGGAGCTCCCCTTCTCCCTTTGTCAGTATATTCGGAAATAGCACCACAAACAGCAACTCTTCCAAAAGGGTTCATGTTTTCAATTGCTGCTTCTAGCATCTCTCCTCCCACATTGTCAAAATATATGTCAATTCCATCAGGGAAGTACCTAGGGTAACAACATTCAGAAATCAGAGAATTCTATCTTATACCGGCACCTTCATTTAAAGAAATCTGAACCCATGTTTAGAAAGGTTGCACTTTAGGTGAAATTTTTTGAAGTACATAGCTAAAAAGCTCACTGGTATTCTTGACATTCAAGGAAAGGGAAGGGCTGACTTACCTTTTAAGAGCCGACTTAAGATCAGTTTCTTCTTTGTAGTTGAATGCTTCATCGAAGCCAAGCTTCTCCTTGAGCAAGTCTACCTATAGTATTCTCAAGGTAACATAGAATTTTATTATTGTAACCATTACTAGTATTGTTCAAGTCTGAAAGGGACAAAAAGGACCAAACACTATAATCACAAGACAATATAGAACCAAAGACAACAGGAAATTGAAGTCACATGACCCTTTTCCTAGGACAGCATATTTATTTTGTTCAATTTAAAATAATTAGTTCCAACCTTACCAAGAATCTCTAGCGTGGCTGGGCTTAATTCTCCCGAAATAATCAAAACAAAATGACAGGAAATGTATACGAGTCCATCTATAGAAGCAAGTCTGACCTTTCTTTGGCTACCAGCACAGCCCACAACATAGCACCCAAAGAGCTTTGCATACTGCCCCACTAAACTTCCCACTGATCCTGAAGCACCAGAGACAAATAGTTTTTCTCGTTTCTTTGGTTTGCACACCTCAAAAAACCCAGCATAAGCTGTTATCCCGCTCAATGCTGCATTATTCATGAGACCAAATAAAAATAAAGGGGCGCCATGTTCAAAAAGTACAATGTTAATCAAGTCTTAAAAGCAAAATTATAACATATTGACATGCTTATGATGATAAAAGGATGATAAAGGCTTACATAGAAGGGCTACATGGTAAGAAAGTGGAAATTCCATCATCTCTATCTTCCTTAACTTGGCCCCTTCCATATTGCTGGGGCTCATTTTTATGATGCTGTACTCTCCCCAGCTCATGCAGTACCACGAGACCAAGTCACCCTCTTTAAATTCAGGATTGCCAGAAGCGACAACTCTCCCGATGCCATCACCATTAATTTTCTGTTAACAAGACTCAGTTAACTCTTGTCATCATTGCTGTGTTTGCATCTCTTCATAAAACTTCAATACAATCAAGTTGTCATCAATCAACAATGACTAGCCAGTTAGTAAGCTGCAACTTACCTGGCCAGGGCATATGGCGCCTGCAAAGTTCATATCCTGCTGAAAGCAACCGGGGCTCTTCATGCGGTTCAGTTGGTAAGGATCAACTGATAAGTACAGATTCTTCACGATCACATCATATTTTCCGGGCTCAATCCATAAAGAAAGAGCTTCTGTCCTGAGCTCAAAATCAGACTCTAGTGGTGCCCTATCAATGTAATGTTTGATCACTACGTACCTGTTTGTTACTTCCATTGAAAGTTCTTATTATTAAGCCTCAAAATTTGAGAATTCTGGAGTGAATGAAGTAGGCAATAGCTCCTACCAGTCCCAGAGGTGGAATCAGGCCAAAAAAACTCTCTTACAGACTGAAGCTGCAGGAGCAGTTGATCAATGCCATTATCTATATAGATGCCAATAGGACGTGGAGGAGTTGGAAGCTTTAATTGACTGATGATTAAACTAACTTCTCCTTGCTCACAATTGATGACTGTTGGCACATTTTTTATTTCATTTCAAACACGAATAATCTTTCTGGTTCTATGGAATATGAATACTGAACTTGATTAGATAATTCTTGTAAGTGTGTACCTCATGGTATATACTTAAACGTTGTAGTCTATAAAATAATCTGAGTTCTCCCATTTTTTTTTCTTCAGGTAAAAAGACGCTCATTAGTTTTCGGAACTTTGACTTAACAACAGCCAAAGCAGCAAATGATTCTTGTTAAAGTCGTTGGACTTGTTGTTTGTTATGCCTACTAACCTTTGCTAAGAGATACGGTGGGTAGAATAGGATTTGGGGTCCTACAACTTTGAGTTTTTTTTGTCTAGTTCAAGCCAGTTATGTAATTCTGACAAAATTTGACGTAAACATGCATAATTTCAAAATAATCGTGATTTTTTCCACCGACTTAGCCGGTTATGTAATTCTAAATTTTTAGACAACAACTCAACTTGTGAAGTCTGGATCCGAATAGAGAATATGAGGACATCAAGAGGTAGTTCAATGAGGTTTATCAAAAGTACTCTTAAATCTTAATTAAAGATCAATTAAAGATACAAAATGAGAATAGTAGTTTTAATTAGTTAGGGTGTTCAGGAGCATACCAGAACCCAACTACCACTACAAACCAAACACTCACCAAACAAAAATATTTCAAAGAGCAAACGTAGTTTATGTAATGTCAGGAATTAGAAGGAAAGTCACAATTTCAAGGAGGTTAGTATGACGACATGCTTTCAAGAATATGATGGTTTATCTGATTGGTGGTATTCAATGATCTTTTCGCAGCATTTAAGAATATATAATTTATAGTCATAATCATGCTAAAACTTTCATGAAGAGTCACAAAACCATGTTAAGATTACCAAAAGTTTACCTGGCTTCATGCATCTAGTTTGAAAATGTACACCCTGGAAATGAAGGGCTGTGTGTAATGCTGAAACATATAGATGGTCTGTATTCTATTACACAAACATATAGATGGTCTCATAATAAGGCTAATCTTGACTGAATTTTCCTTTACATCTGGACACCCATTCTTAGTATCTAGTCTGTATTCTATTTTAAGAACGGCCAAACAGGCTTCAAATGAGGATGCTAGTTTGCTTTCAAACCTACAAGACACAATAATTCAAGAACATTCCAACTTGAATGAATGTATGTTGTACTGTGCCAGACCTGTGTAGCAGTTAATAGTTTAGCACAAGCTAGGAATTCCTCATACCATCAGGTAAAAAGTGGTCAACAATAATGTGAAAACATCATAAGGAATCATTCGAATATACTCTGGTTGCTATTTTTGTTGCCTAATGGAAAGGGGCACTTCTGAACTCCTTGTGATGCATAGCAACAATACTTTTTACTTGTCTAATTACTAAGGAATCAAGTTTTGAAGAAAGAAAAGAATAATCCTCAAGAACATGTGCTATAATGCTAGAGTCACCAATAGAAACTATTTCACAGTTAAGAGCAATATCAATGAAACAAGGAAACGAAAGCAACCTGTAAGATGCAAGATTCAAGTAATTCACAATATTCATACTCCCCAGCATTCTGCAACCATAACTTAAATCCCACATTTAATTTTGTGAAAAATATCATGCAAATTTACAAATCTTAGAATATTCAAATGGGAGAGTGATCTTAAGTACATCAAGCCAGCCCCTTCAGCATGTAGGAGCATGCTACAGGAAGGAATCAAACATTAGCAAGCATCTGCATGAACTGGTAGGCTTCTGTCCAGTCAAAATAGTTATTCCAGCCACGATCAATATCATTGGGCATTGCTTCAACTAGGTCCTTAGCATCCTCATCCTTAATGTCGTACAAAATTACCTTACCCGGCAGAGAGATCACAAGCCTCGGTTTCTTTTCTTTCTCATCCTCAAGAAAACAACACATGTAAAATCTTCATAGATCCTGATCAAACGGACCAAGGACTTCACCCACCATTGAAGGATACAAAATCGACAGAGGATAAGGTCTATGTGGTACTTCAAAGCCCATTCAGAACATTCCCTTTTCATCTCAAAAATGTCAAACAACAGAGATTGATGATTATTAACCTCAATAAAATACAAACAGCCTCCAGACACTCCAGAGTACCAAAAATACACATCCCTGTGGCGCATATGAGGAGACGGCATGGTCAAGTTAAGGCATTCTTTATCTAAGTCAGAGCAGTGTGTCCGTCCAACCACTTATCCAATGAAGATTAACATTCCATAACATTCCATTCATGAAAATATACACTTTCCCTCCCTCATATGTGACCTCACTGACCCTCCAAATCCCAGTTTCAGATGAATAAATAGAAAATACACATCTCTCTAGAGGGGTTTGACTCAATTCATACCTTTCCATGCAACATTCCTCTGACCATACACAGACAAGATTGTAGTGATGAGATTTTACAGGATCAAACACAATGTTCAAAGCAAAAAAGCGAGGGTCCCTTTCCATTAGATTGAGCCTTGGAATACCCCTATGCTCAAGGGTAGTAGGGTTATACACAAGAACTTCTTTTTGACCAAAAAGTTTTGACCCAAAGACGTGCTAATAACCCATTGCAACGATGTAATTTCTCCAAGTACACGCCTTGAAAGAAACTGAAATTGGTCAAGTCGGATATAATGGTACCCAATGGACTTGCATTTTCTTGGTGGTAGAAGACGAAATTAAGCTTGCCCTGCCCGTGATGGACGAAAATAAGGGCACCAGAGTCGGTGGTAGTGCCAGAGGAGGAAGCCATGGTAGTGGTGGTGGGATAAAGCCGAGAATGCAGACATCTAAAAGTGGGGCTGGAAATAATTGAGAACCATTGCTTGGAGATAGACTGAAACCGGAGGAGGGATATTGGGGGTAGGTGAACTAAAAGATGAGTTAAGATTTCCTCATTGTTGCCTACAATACCTGCAGCAAAATCATTAAGAGGAAGAGAAGAAGAAGGTTCCATGACTAAGATTCTGAGGCTGAGTAATTTATTTTTGGGCAATCAGCTAGGTTTCAGCTACAGCAGAGGAGCTTAGGGATGGCAATGGGGGCGGGTGCCCGCGGGGGGCTCACGGGACAGGGGTTGGGGCGGGAGGGAATTTTTTCCCCCCGCTTAGAAACGGGGCGGGGGAGTATACTCCCGCCCCATCCCCCGCCCCGCCACTCGCAAAAAAAAAATGTATATATATAAATATATATATAAATGACTATATATTATATGTAAGTTAATTAGTTATAAATTTATGATAATGATATTATTAGTTAGATGTATTATATAATGTATATTAGTTTATGTAATATAATTGATATTATCAATTATATGAATAATTATACATGTCTACTAATAGAATTTATTAATTAGTTATACTAAATTTACTAATACATTTATACTAAATTTCTAATTACACTTAATAGAATAACACTTTTTTCTCAAAAAAAAGCACAAACACAATGATGAATTAGTGATTGCATTTGTACTAAAAGTGAAAATTTGACTATTTTAGTTATATTTATTTCATCATATTGGATTGTATTCAAATAACTTCTGTTTGATTGTTTTTATGAGTTTTAATTGTAAAATTACAATGAATAATAATTTGGTGATGTGTTGACATTTTAGTACTTGATTATTTATTAAAATTTAATTATAATAAAATTATATAATAAAATTTTATTAACCCCGCGGGTGCCCCCGCAGGGGAAGCGGGGGAAGGCGGGGCGGGGGCGGGGCGGGGCGGGGGGAGCAGGAGGCGGGGGACGGGGGGAACTAATAGGCAATGGGGCGGGGGACGGGGGAGGGGTCCCCCGCCCCAACCCCGCCCCGTTGCCATCCCTAGAGGAGCTGGGTTCAGGCTGTTGATTTTAGTTTTGGGGCTGAAGAATCATCAAAACCTTTAAAAAAAAGGGGGAAAAAATCACATGAGAGAAATAAGGAAATAAATAGTTGATAGAAACTGATGAATTAGCAGTGTACCTCCTCTGACTATTTAGTATCTGAAGACACATAGATCAAGAAATTATGGTAAACTGTACCTAAATCCAGAGAATTAAAAAAAAAAGATGGTGAGGCTGCTATTCCTTCTACACCATGCGTCCAGAGAAGTAGTGCAACTAAAGTAAAGCAATGAGAACATGGATGGTCCATTATCATCCACGAAAAATAACAAGCAATGGCATTGTCATGTAAAGCACATAGTGTATTCAATAGTTTTCTCTACGTGAATTCGCTGAACAAACCTCCACCAACACGCAAAATGTAAACTCGCGGGCTGGTAGAAAAAACTTCTCTCCCAGGGGGAACGGCTCATACTCATTAAGCATGTGTTTTCTGCCATACCTACGCACGTGTTAGCCGTTATGGACCCACCATCCGGGGTGCTCAAGGATCTGGAACGAATAATGGCGAATTTTTTCTGGGGTCAGACGGAGCTGGGCCCTAAACATCACTGGCGTTCCTAGGAAAACCTATGCTTTCCAGTGGAGGAAGATGGCCTTGGCATATGATCCTTTAAAGACATACAGGGGGCGTTCAGCTGCAAACTGTGGTGGCGTTTCCGCCATTCGACCTCCTTGTGGGCTCTCTTCATGAGGTATCGTTATAGTGAAGACCGTGGGGCAGCCCGCGGGACATCCAGAGTCTGGCGACGAATGCTGGCCGTTTCTGATACTGTGGCATAAGTCACCCGAATTATAGACTTGGAAGGCAGGGGTCGACCAGCTTGGACTCTAACATCCTCTGGTGATTTCACTATTTCTTCAGCATGGGAGGCTTTGCGGTCTAAACGGGCTTGCCTTGGTTCTAGGAAAAGTGTATGGAGTGGTTGAGTTCCTTGCAAAATCGCCGTTTTTATATGGAAGCTACTCAATAAGTACCTCCCTTTCTCTGATGCCCTCCAGAGGTTTGGCCTCCACCTCCCCTCTAAGTGCCCGTTCTGCCTGAATGGAGAGTCTCAAGATCACATTTTCTCGGGCTGCTTTCTAGCATCTGAGGTATGGAGTTTCTTTGCTAGGGCAATATGGGTTCCCAATGCACCTTCGACGGACATTCTCTGCCGGCTACAGCAATGGTGGCTTTGTCACCCTCCAAGC